TTAGTAGGATGGTTGGGAGGCTCGTCAATATTATACTGAATGACTGTTAGGATGACCGACCGTAAACCTACTGTCGGGCTTGCAAGTCATGATACGCAAACTCTGTACGCAAGCCACATTCGACATGCGCATGGGCGCTACTCGGAGACTTCCTTCATATTGGACTCGTATTCATGTAACTCGATGATATATAATGTACAGTGATCAACAAATATACACCAGAACAAATTGGACAGATCCTATAGCACCACGTCTTCAATAACCAGATAACGGCTATGCGCCGTTCACATTAGACACCCGCTGAACAGCGCCTGCACATCCTGCGCCAGCTCCCCCACATCCGTCCCGCCGCCGCTCGAGTCCACAAGGGGTTTCACGCTTTCCCAGAACTCGTTAAAGTCAATATCGCCGAGCCCCGCATCGCTGCTGGGGCCAAACTCCGCATGACCTTGGGCTGACTCCACGCTGCTCTCCGTGAAGTCCGCGCCTTGAGTGAACCTTGCGCTGCCCTGCGCAGGCTCCTCGCCAAACGCGCCCGCAACCCGTTCCTCGTCGAAAAGCGCGCTGAAGTCGCTGAGGCACAACGCGAGCTCCTCGTCGGAGTACTGCGTCTGCTCACGCTCGAAGGGGTCCGACAGGAAATCAGAGTCCATGCCCTCCCCGTCGCTATAGCCAAAGTCACCGTCGCTGTACCCGAATTGCATGTCGTCGGACGAAGCCGTCCCCACGTCGTCGGACATAGCTGCTCCGAGATCTAGCTCCTCTATTCCGCCCTCACTTGTGCCTAGCATAGGACTCAAGGCACCCAAGGTTGGGCTCGAGTCGCCCCGAATTGGACTCGAGTCGCCGAGCATTGGACTGGAGGGTGGCAGAGGCGAGCTCGGGGGCAGCCCGACACTCCAGTGCTCTGCGTTCGAAGGGGGGTCGCTCGACGCAATAGGCAGCGACGACGACGGCGCTTCGAGCTCGTCGAACGCATCGCGCCGCCGCTTCGACTTCCTCGCCGACGGCGAGCACTGCGCCGACCACCTGCCGTCCCGCCCGCCGCTAGACGGTTGTCCACCGCTAGATTTCCGCCCGCTGCCAGACTTCCTCGCCGACGGAGAATCCTGAATCCCCCACCCACCGCTCCTCCGCCGCGCGGACTTGCCGCTCAGTGGTGAGTTGCCCGTGAACGAGCGCGCGGCGGGCGAGAAGAGCGGGCTGTCGTAGAGGCTCCCGAGGCGAATGCTGCTGCGCGGCGTCGGTGTGAACAGCCCCTCGCGGGGCGTGGGTGTAAACAAGGCCTCTCGTGACGTCGACCCCGGCGTGAACAGCGCCTCACCGCGTTTGCGCTCGGGCGTGCGTGGGGTTTGTTTGGCCGGGCTGGAGGGGCCGGGCGACGACGGCGCGAAGGCGTCGAAGGAGACGTCCGACGCGAACACGGGAAGCCCGAAGTTCGCAGCCGTACTCTGCGCCCCGCCACCTGCATCCTCCTCCCGCGCGCGGAGCGTCAGCACGCTCTCGCTGGCCCTCCTCCGCAACACGCTCCGCCCTTTCTCCTTCTCCTCATCCCCCTGCTCGTGCTCCCGCGCCTGTTCCTGTTCCTTCCCTCGCCTGCGCTTCTTCCCCCGCCTACGCTCGCGCTCGCGCTGCGCCAGTGCCTCCTCCGCCTCTCTAGATAGCCGCTCCTCCGCCTCCTTTGACAGCCGCGGCTGCGTCGCCGTCGTCGTGCGCGCCCACTCCGGCACGACGTACGGCCGGCGCGTAGGTATAGTTGACGTCGACGCCGTCTGGCGCAGCGGGAGCGGGCGGGCGGGCGACGTGTGCGGGGGCGGACGCAGGGGCCGGACAGGAGACGTGCGCTCGCGGTCTTCCATGAACGCGCTCAGTGTGCGTTTCCGCGCGGCGCCGTCTCTCCCCTTGTCGTCCTTTGCCTTCTCCCCGGAGGCGTGCGGGCTCATGTTCTCCTTGTCGAGCGGGCGGGTGTCGGGTTGCGGATCCTTCGCCTTGCCGTCCTTGTCAACTGCGGGAGTTGTGGCGGCATGAGGAGCGACACTAGAGGGAGCGGGGTCTGACGAGGCAGGGGTAGAGGTGGACGACGCCATTGCGAGCAGGTGGCGTAGCGCGTCAAGGAGAGCGCGGTTCTGTGGCTGGCCATCGGTCTGCGGTTGGGCAATATCTGCCTGTAGTTGCGTTTGTGGTTGCACAGTATCCGTATCTTGTGCTTGACCGGGACCCGTCTGCAGCTGCACAGTATCCGTCTGTGGTTGGGAGCTATCCCGCGACGGCGTGTCTTCCCGCACTTGTGTCCTTCGACGCACCGGAGAGTCCGTCTCCGTCGCCGAGTCAAACGAAAGGTAGTCAGACGGCGAAAAGGCCTCGTCAGAGGCAGACGCCGTTCCCCCTTCGCCGCTACAACTCGCACTCATGTCCCCACCACTCGTGCCCCCACCGCTCACGCTCACGCTCGTACTCGCACCTCCTTCGCCCGCGCCCGCACCGCCACTACCGGCATCGATGGCGCACAGCGCGCCTAGCAACGCGGCGTTCTGCGCTGTCGAGCCCGCCGCGAGTGCGGAGAGCAGCGTGTGCAGCGCGTGCGTTTGTGTATCTGGCCGCGTCTGTGTTTGGGCATGCGGTTGCGGTTGCGGTAGCTGATGTTGATTTCGGTGCTGGTGTGCATGCGGTGGTGGGTCTGAGTGATGCGCTTGATGTGGATGCACTTGTTGCTGGTGTGGGTGCGCTTGTTGCTGGTGATGATGACGATGATGTGGGTGCTGTTGTTGGTGCTGCTGCTGCTCCCGCACCCGCGCCTCCTCCCTCGCCCGCACCCGCGCACGCTTCTGCTCCGCGCGCACCTCCTCGCGCGTCTGCCGCTGCTTTGGCCGGCCGACGCGCCGCCGCGGCGGGCCGATGTAGATTTCGGGGAAGCCGGATGTGGAGGCCAGGGAGGTAGTTGTGGATGCGATGGACGTAGATGCAGTGTGCGTGGATGTGGATGCGTGGGATGCGGGCGTGGATGTGGATGTGGATGTGTGAGGTGTTGATGAGCCGGGACGCGTGAAAGAGTGCTGGGAGCTAGGCGGGGACATACGTGAGCTCGAGCTTGGGAGGGACGCGCGGTGGCGCGTCGGCGGCGACGTGTGGTCGGACGTGGATGTGCATAGGAAGGCGCCATGGGGAGATGTGGACACGAAGGTGCCTGGCGGGGACGTGCGCGTGCGCGAACTCGAGCTGTGAACGGACAGGGGTGGCGACGAGGAGAACGGGTACGCCGCACTTGAGTTCGACGCGAAGGAGAAGGCGTCGGGGCGTGCGACCGTTCGTGAGCCTGACCCAGACGCCACCGGCCGCGAATTCGAGGTAGATGCTACCGGTCGCGAGCCGGAACTCGAGGCAGCACTGGAGCCGGACCCAGCAAGCATCCTCCGCGCCTTCTGTTTCTCTTTCGCACTAACCTTAACCTTCTCCTTCGCACCATCCTTGTCCTTCGCGTCTTTGGTGGGCTGTGCCTCCTTCCCCGCAGGTGCATTCGGTACCTGCTGAGCACCAGAGCGCGCCTTCGCAGCCGACCCACTTGCAGCGGCAGCAGCAGTCCCCCAGGCGCGCAATGCGTCCGGCAGCGCCGCCCTTTGTACATGCGGTGTCTGCAGATAAAATAGAGGGCGTGGTAAGCATTATGTGCCAATAGGAGGTGGAAATGATGTGGGGTTGGGTTAGGGAAGGTGGTGTCAAAATCAATGGGTAGGGAAACGGTACCAAAAGGGATGAGTGCGGACGTGACGGCGAGTGACGCCCACAGCACGCATGGACGAGATGTACGATACCATGAGCATTTACGCGTCGTTGTATGATTAGGAGCGTTGGGTATGATTGTACAACATGGTCATACGCGTCGAGTGCACGAGCACGCGCGTGCGTCGAACGGACGAATACCCGCCGGCGGCATGATGATCCGTCGACTACATAAGCACGCGTCGGACATGAATACACAGTGCATGTCGTCCACGGAGCCGCACAAACCAAGGCTTGCGAGCAGATAGCAGACCAGAAACGCATACGCAGAAGAGAGGCGCGCGCAGGATACCACGCGCCCTGGAAACGCAAATACAAAAAGGAACACGCGTAAAGGACGATACAAATGCATGAGGGCATCTGCAAACGAGCAAGGCAGTCTACCAATGCGAAAGGAGCTCAGAAACGCGTACGACATACTTGCACGGGCAAGGTCATGGCATGCAACGCGAGACAGCTTTCCCACAGCGCAAGACAACAGCTCGGCATCGCGAGACGCAGAAAGGAAAGCAAAATTTGCACACAAGCGGCCCTAAACGCGCGTGGCAGAACAAGTGGCAGATACAAAAGGGAGTGGCAGGTGGCGAACAGGCCAGGAAGTGGCGCGTGACACAGAGGAGGCGAGAACCAAATGCAAACTCACCTCACGAAGAGCCAGCACGACCTCGAGCGCGGGGCCTGCAGCTGTCTGCACGAGCGATCCGTTGACCAACACGCCGTCGTCCTGCTCCGCGAGTGCCCAGGACATGAGGCCGAGGGCGACGCTGAGCGCGGGCTCGAGGGGATCACGAAGATATACGGAGAAATCGCGCGTGGGGTCGTGTACGAGCTCTGGGCTAGACCTGCATAGAGCGGCGAGGCATGCGTGGAGGGCGACGCGTGGATGGGGGAGGAGAACGCATGGAATGGCGTTTAGCGTGCGCGCGAGGACGTATTCGGGGCTTGCGTTGAGGGTGTACAGGATGCGCACTTTTTTTTGAATTAGCGGCGTCGATGGCAGAGTAAAAGGGGGCTCACAGGGCAAACTAGACGCAGCGTCGACAGGTGCAACCATCGCAGTCAGGAAAAAGTCGCGTCTTCAAGGGATTCCATGCCAAAAGTTGGCGAAAGGAACGACGCACACTCGAAAACACGCTGCAGTCCGAGGTCACATGTCACATCGTAACATTGTCACACCCCAACTGCGATTAGATAATGAACCCTATTTTATCGACCACCTCGCCGGCGAAATCGGGTAGTGGTTATCTCGTCACGTTTAGGCCTTGGTCTCAATTTCCGTGATGCTTAACGGCGCGTGGGTTCAAATCCCACTTTCGTCAACTTTTTGCTGCCTTTTTGTCGACTCGGGAGCACACACCTCCTGAACGCCAGTGAATGGTATGTGTACTCCTCGCCGATACACTTTGGCCCTAATCCACATTGTACTAGCTCGCGTTGAACGCCATCTCATCGCGCTCTCTCCGAGTCTCTCGTCTGATCATCCACTCATGCGGACAAGGGACTCCATCTCGGACGTGTAGTACGCGTCTTGTGGGATCAGCAGCACAATAAATATGTACGCCATTCCTTCCTTGCTCGCAACGGATGCCTGCGCCACTACCATCCCTGTGAGCTACTGCTCGCATGTTCTCCACCAGCACATGTCCCCGTCTTGACTTTTCATCACAAGACTCCAGTGCCTCCCGCCGGGTCAAATTTCGTAGCTGTGAACTCTTGCTCACGCACATCCCCGAGCGTTGAGCATTCAGGCAAAAGCGGCACGCCCGCTGGAATATCAATCATGCATTCATCATTCCTCCTTTACGAGTGCGATGCCTACCGCCGGAATTACACCAACCGCACAGACTTTCCCGCCGGTGTCCTACGCACAGAACGCTTCATGCACGAATTTAGCGGTGATCCATTATATCTGACGCCTTAACGGTGGTTGCCTGCCTATCTAGGGCGCTCCAGATTACTTCTCTAGCGTCTGTGTGTGCTCACGCCCACCCTTCCTTCACGTAACTAACGTTCCGTCGCACCCTTAGCAGTGCGTACACATTTCATTCGGGGCAATGAACAGGTCCTTCCGTACGTATTTCGTCTCTACTGAAGTTCTGGTGCTCCCGGGGCGGATACGGAATAACGGCATGTACAATGCCTGTGCTGGTCGAAGCCGATACTATTCCCTTCAAGACGATGCAATTCCCTTCACGACAACGCAATTCCCCTCAAGAACCGGAGAGGTCCCCTTAAACTGTCCGCCAAGCCCATGTACGCCCTCACGGCCATGCGCCGCCACCGCGCCACCGCCGCCATGCCGATTCTGGACGCAGCAGTCCCGATCCTGCACGCTATCAAGGCCGCCGCGGGCATCGCGCACACGCCCGCGCTCAGCGGCGCCGCCTCCGCCCTCCTCGCGTGCATCACCGCCGCGCAGGACGCCCGGTCGAACCGTGACGAGGCCCTCGCGCTCGCCGCGCGCATCGTTCGGCTCGTCCTCCCGATCATCGACTGGCTGCACGCGCCCGCGCCCGTGCCGCCCGCCCTGGAGCACGACCTCCGCGGCCTCATCCCGTGCGCAGTCCGCCCTTCCCTCTTTCCTTTTCATATGTATGTGCGTTTGCTGATGCTCCGCGTTTACAGGGTGCTCGGGCGCGTGGCACACGCGCTGCACAGGGTCGCGCGGCGGAATGTCGTGGCGCGGATCCTGCTAAGCATCTGCGACAAGGAAGTGATTCTGCAGGAGGGCAGGGTGCTGGACCGCGCGCTGCAGGATTTTGTGGTGCGTTCCGGTGTGCATGCGGGAGGCCATGCTCACGCGCCCCTTTTATGTACAGCTGCACTCTCAGATACACCTGCGCGCGGTGTCGAGCAGTGCTGTATCAGCCGTGTGTAGTGTCGCTGGAGTCTCGTACATAATCTTGGCTGATTTTCGTGTCAGGACTATGTGACATACAGACACGGCGATATCGAGCTGGTGGAGGAGATATCCCGAGCGGGGAACGGTTTACGCGTCCATCGCGCGCGCCTGCGCGCGGATGGGACCCATGTGCAGGTCGTGCACTATCCTGAGGAGGCTGCGAAGGTGAGGAATCGTTCTCGATGTATGCTGCTGTGCTTACGGTTTTGGACCAGACTTTTTTGGCCGATATGCGGCGCTATCAGCAATTGTTGTCAGCAGTTTGAGCACTCCGATTGCGTAGTCCAGCCGCTGACGGGCAGACCTCAGCCACCCTAATCTTCTCCAGTTTCGCGGGGCTTCCCACTCTCGATACAAGAGATTTATCGTTATTGAGGACCGTAAGGCCACGTTTATCCCATTCTTGAGTCTTGGCATGGTTTTTATGTGTGTCGCTTATATCAGATCCATACAATGGTGAAGGCATATTAGCGGTGTCAAATCCCTACAGGATCCCCTTCCCAGAACGGGTCCGACTATTTCTGCGAGTGGTAGCTACACTTTTCCTTCTCGTGATACATCCTTCGTCTAACACGCAAAGTACAGATAATCGATTTATGTGTGAGTACTCGTCGGCATTTTGATTACAACTAAACCGCCGACTGTAATCTGGCATTCAATTCAGTCTGCAGGTCAATATGTCTTAGACAGGTTTGGTGCGCAGGCCGGCCTAGATAACTCCTTAGTGAGTGTGCATCTGTATTGTCCGTGTAGCAGTATTTCTCACTAATCCGATGCAGAATAGTATACGCTTTGACGCTGGTCTTGGAAAAGCAGTTTTCCAATTCGACAGTACGTGCCACCCTTTAATCTTGTCGAGCTGACATCCTTCGCCGAATTTCTAATCCACGGTAATTCATATTTAGGCTCAGGAAACGGTGCAGATGAGTTTCTGTGCCAAATCGTGAGCCTAATTCTCATTTTCTCGACGTGATCTGACATGCTTATCATGTGGTGCGTTCAAGATGGCTTCGATGGCTGCTCTTTGCCCGTTCATAGGTGTCTTCTGATCCATACCCCGGCCCTAAACGAGAGCTAACAACCAGCTGAGCACCAGATCACGACTCCGGTCATGGTCGAAGTGCTCACTCACGGCTCCCGCCGCCCCAAGAGGACGCCTTGGGCCCCCCGAAGCCTCTGTCGTTCCAGTACGTCGCGCAGAAGCTGGACGCCCGGTACCACGACTGGGTAACCGCGACATCTGCGTTGAATGGGCGAGTCGAATGGCCGTGTGCGAAGATGATACGCCAATATCAGGCCACGCCCGAGTCGTATTATCCGTGTTTCGACTCTGACGCCGCACCGAAGGATTTCCGCGCCGTCCCAGGTGACGTGGTGTGCGCTGATTGCCACTCCGTGGGCACGCCCTCTGTGCTATTCCCGTTCGGGTTCTCGCGTTTCGTGCTCGTCCGGAACCTTGCCGCAGAAATTTGTGGAGCCAGCGGATTCCTTGAGGACAGTGCACGAAGATTTCGCTTGTCGTCTGCATCGTCTCCTAAATGGACGCATCCCGATGTCTCGTGGTTGGTCCATTCTCCTGGCCTTTCGTTGTGCACATCCATGCTGACGCGCTGACGCCTCGTGCAGCGGATTGCCTGGCCTGATAGAACAATCTCTTCAATATACACAGACATTCCATGCATACAATGATAAAATGGCTTTGAGGAAAACAAAGACGTGCCTGTCGAGCAAGATGGAGGCCTTTTCCCGGCAGCCAACAGCGGGCCAGGAAGTAGGCGTAGACGGTGCGACCGAACGGGTCCTCTTTGTAGGTCACTATGTCTCATGGCCACACCGCTTGCCGCCTCATTTTTATGAGTCGTAGTCACTTCTGTAACCCGCACAATACGGGTGGAGCTCCAATGGTGGCCCACTAATCCACACCCGATAGATCCTTCTTCCTGCCTGGAGAAGGAGGATGCCATGTCTGCAATGGCGATGGACGGGAAAGCGCAGGATTCCGGACCAGGCTTTTACTTTCACGCGAATGATACGGAGCCCACAGAGGTCGACGAGCTCAGCCCCGCCTGGGGCTACTGGTCAACATCCCCACAATGGGTGCGGCCAGAGGAACGCTGCATTATCCCTGCTGCCACGGACAGGGATGCTTTCGGTACCATGCCTGTGGATTTGGAGGGATGCCGTGTAGATGCACTTGTGCATGCAACTGAGGAGTACGCTGAAATCGGCCTTCCTACAATTATTGACGACTGATACACCGGCAATCTCTTCATAGGTACGAGTATGGAGTTTTCGTCTTGGACGAGCTCGAGCACATCATTCGCTGAACCACCCCGACGCATTGTGGCGCTTGGCAGGTGAACGATCGAGTCTGATATCTGCTGAGGGGCGAGTTCATGAACCTCTGTCGGACTCGGCGACGTCACTAGCAGAGATACCTGGATACATTAAAGGTGTATTATGAACAAATGAAAAGGGCCATTGTAACTTTAAGTATGATGATTACGGGAAGAAGAACCACACCGCGTTTAGATACGCGGAAACCTCTAAGATTCCACGACGAGGGAGCGTCTATGATCGTGGAGACTTTTAAGACGTTGCATATGGTGCATACTTCCAATATCTGCAACCGCAAAGCGTGAGCATCATGACCCGTACCCAGAGAGATGACAGACATACCCGGAGTGCCGCCGCGCGAAGACGTGCGGGATCAGGACTTTCGTGAGCACCCAGGGCATGCCCGGCCAGAGCGGCTTGTACTCCGGCGGCGTATGGCTGGGTCGCGGATAATTGTTAATGAACGCACACGGAAGGAGAGCGATGCACCCGGAAGTAATGGGAGACGCACCTTCGCATGAACGGCAGCCCGGTCCACGGATCCGCGTTCGCCTTCGCATAGTCCCCTGTCTTCTTGAGGATGTCGTGCAACTCCGCCGCGGAGAACTTGTCCTTCAGCTTCTCCGGGCTGAGGTCGGCAACCTCGTCGTCGAGGTGCTCGTACTGCGTCGTGTCACTGTCAGACGCATATACACATACAGAGGGAAGGGGAGACGCACGAGCGGCCCGCGGAGATCATTCATCAGTGAACGAAGCTTCGCCGCGTCAAAGGACGCAAGGTCCTTCTTCACGGATGCAATGTATGCGAGAAACGCGTCGAGCGACACGTGCAGGACCCTATGCTGCTCGATTTCGCTCGACATGTCGAGCTTGGCACTCAGCACAGGGAAGAACACAACCTCTACGCGACGATTAGCAGAATACTGACGCAGCGCAGTCGCCGGGGCATACCTTCAGAGTCGTGGTGCTCAGCGATGGCCTCGGCCCACGACTGGCAGTAGCCGAGGAAGTTAGGGAGGTCATCGAGAGGGGGCTTGTCGAGGTGCGAGAGTATGCTGTCGAATCCTGCCTTGAATGCGT